TCCTTGACCTCCAGGATCTGGGGTTTCTCTCCAGGAGCAGAGGTCTTTTTCATCACAGTGAGGGCATTGGCGTGGGTGATGGTGCGGACAGTGGTGGCACTGAGCCAGGGCATCCCAAAAAGGGCTGCCAGCCCCCCCATGGCCACGATCAGCAGCAGGTCCAGGTGGAAGCCTGTGCCCTTCACCAGCTTCCTCTCGGGTTTGCTGACGATGAGGCTGTAGGGACACAGGGGATGAGTTGGTGATGCAGTGCCCCAGGGAGGTTCCCTCTGTCCCTCTGTCCCTGCCCCTCTGTCCCTCCCCTCCCCAAACCCTCCTCCTCACGTGGTGATCTGCGTCTCCAGGAAGATGAGGATGAAGACCAGGAGGGCAGGTACCACTGAGGCAAACATCATCCAGATGGGGAACTGCTTTGTATTCCCCATGGGGCTGATAAACCAGCCCCGAGCGGACGAGTTGGTGACCTCCAACCCTCTGGGGACGTTCAGTTTCTGGAGGGAAGCAGAGATGGGGAAGTGAGGGGATGGAGAACAGGGATGAGCACTCAGATCCATGTCCCCTTACTGGGGACACCTGTCCCCTCCCAGCCCTACCCTCCCAGACCTGTGTGTACGTGTCCTTGATGAAGAAGTCAGCCAGTGCCATGACAAAGATGGAAATGGGCACCCCGAAGTCCCCGATCAAGCGCCGGACCTGTGGGCACATGGTGACCACGTTAAACCCACCTCTGTGCCCCCCCAGACAAGGAGGTGTCCCCACTGTGTCCTCTGTATGAAGATAGAAAGAGTTTGCACCATTTCAGCCACTGCATCCCCAGAGCCCCTGTTTTCCCCCCAGGTGCAGAAGGATGGGAGGACTCCACCATGTCCCCCCTGCCCTCACCGTGCCAGGCAGGAAGGAACTGTTCTTGAAGACACGGAGGAAGAAGGCCAAGAAGAAGGTGCCACCCATGAGGACGAGGGACAGCAGTGCTGTGTTGGGCTCTGGCTCCCCAGCCTGGAAATGGGTCTGCACGTTGTACTGCCGCTGCAGTGGGTGTTCCTTGAAAATCTGGGGAGGGAAGGGGAGAGGGTGAGGTGGGAGGATGGGGATGGGGGGTCCCCCTGCGCCCCTCCTGCCATGCTGGGAACTCTGCAGCACCATCCCGGTGGGTGCAGGGTGTGTGCCAAGGGGGTGGTCAAGGCTGGAGCTTGGCACACAGTGAGGAGCAGAGAGGTGTTGGTGCTCCCTGTGTTCCTTTGTGGAGAGAAGCATGAGCTGGGAAACACCTGGGAAAGGGGAGAAAACACCAGGAGATGGACAGACTCCATCCATCACCTGCATCCCACTGTTTCTATGGAAACCTGGGTGGTAACCACAATCTGCAGCCCCCACACACACTTCCCTGCCGTGGGACCCCCGTGCCACTCACCGTGACCAGCTTGGAGAAGGTCTCGAAGATGAAGATGAGGGAGATGAGGAAGGAGAAGATCTCCTGGGTGTAGCGGGACAGGTAGCGCACCAGGAAACTGCCCTCACATGCCACCACCACCAGCACCAGCAGGATCATCCAGAAGCCAATCCAGACCCGGCCCACGATGTATTCCATATCATAGCCATCACAGAACTGGAGAGCAGAGGGCACAGCCCTGTCAGCTCCCCAGAACCCTCCAGCATGGGCATCCAGGTGGGCCATCCTGCATGTGGCACTCCTCTGCCACCTCCCCATTGAAATCCCCTCATGACATCCTCCCACCTGGCAGCACCCCATGCCTCTGCCAGGGCTGGTAGGAACACCCTGAGCCTGCTGTGGGGACCACCAGTGGTGGGTAGGGTCACCCAGGGGCATGGGAGGGCACCCACCGAGTAGAAAGCTTCCTCAAAGACAAGGAGGGGTCCCGAGAAGCCAACGACAAGGAGGGGCTGAGCACTGAGGAGGCTGAAGAGCACACACTGCACACAGGTGGAGATGAGCAGCTCTGACACCCCCATCATGCCCTTGGTCTTCTCACCTGGTGGGAAGCAGAGCTGGTGAGTGCCAAGCTGGGGGACAACGTGCTGTGCCCCCCATCCTACATCCCTCAGCACCAGGATCAGGGGGTGCAATCACCCCCCATGGGATGGTGATGAAGGCAGAGGTACAGTGCTTCCCCCAGCCCCAGCTCAGCTTGGGGGTCACCCCCATCCCATGGAGTGTGCCCAGACTGTGCCCAGCATTACCCAGCAACCCTCCAAAGGTGACAGCAGGTGACAGCGCCGCAAAGTAGATGAAGATGACAGCAGCCAGGCACTGGGGGCTGAGAGCATCCTTGATGTCACTGAGATATTTGGGGTAGCGGCGGCAGATGTCCCTCACCAGTCCCCCAAAAGGTCTCCCCGTCCTGCGCAGAGGGTCGTCCTCCTCTGCCTCCTGCTCATCCAGCCCTGGGGACACAGCAGGTGGCCATGGGGGCACCCTCTGTGCAACAGGGTGCTCGAGAACCGGGTATTAGGGGGAGGTCTGAGGGGTCCCTGCCATACCCAGCTCTTTCCTGAAGTCCCCTGCGGATTCCTTCTCGTGGGGTTGGTAGCGGCGGCGCAGCAGGTCGCGCTGCAGAGGGACCAGGGCGCGGAGCAGCTGCTCGTTGGGGACCTCGGTGGGTGGCAGCACGATGCTGGCGTTCAGGAAACCCTGCAGGCTCTGCTGCAGGTCCTGCCTGCCCTCGGCCAGGTAAGCATCCCGGCGAAACACCTGCAGAGTGGCACAGGGATAGGTGTTCAGCCAGCTCTGGTGCCCTAGGGAGCTGCTGGGCACCTGCCCAGTCCCTGAGTGTCCCCGTGGGCATGGAAGTGTAATCGTGGAATCATAGAATCATCAAGGTTGGAGGAGGTCTTTCAGACCATCAAGCCCAACCATTAAACTGTCACTCTGGTGTAAACCCTAAAAACTCAACCATGTCCTCCAGCACCAGATCCAGATGTCTCTAAAACACCTCCAGGGATGGTGACTCCACCACCTCCCTAGGCAAACCTATTCCTATGCCTGAATACTCAAACAGAGAAAGATTTTTTTGTAGTATTTACTCTGACTCTCCCCTGTCTCAGCTCAAGGCCTCTCCCTGCAGGGATGGCAGGAGAGGACATCTCCCACCTCTTCCAACCCCTTTTCAGGTAGCTGTAGAGACCCCTGAGCTGCCTCTTCTCAAGCCTAAACAAACCAAATTCCTTCAGCCCTCCCTTGTAGGACATGTGTTCTAGACCTTTTATGAGCTTCAATGCCCTTGGCTGGAGTTGCTCCAGCACCTCAATGTCGTTTTTAAAGTGAGGGGCCCAAAACTGAGCACAGTACTTGTTGGGGGCATAAGGGATGGGGGGACAGGGATATGGGCACATGTTTGCTTGGACACTTGGAGACAAAGGGACATTTGATCTCAGGGAGATGAACCCCTGGAGACGCAGGTGCATGGGGACATGGGGATCAGATAGGGCCATGTCATAGTGGGACAAGCTCTGTTAGAGGGTGCAGCCCTGGGGTTGGGGACTCCAGGGGGCTCAGGGGGCTGGTGGCAGTGGCAGTGGGATGGTGGTGGAGGGTGAGCCGTACCCTCTCAGACATCATGGTGCCGATGGCGCGGCCGATCTCGTGGTAGCTGACGACGGGGCTGTCGGGGCCCAGCACCACGAAGAGGAAGCGAACAGGGAGGGGCACAGTGAGGACACCATCCAGTGTGGCTGCTTCCTTCAGACGCACGAAGGCCAAGATTGGCTTCTCCAGGAAGGCTGCACAGCCTGGGAGGAGGATGGGATGGGATGGGATGGGGGTCATGGGGGACCAGGCACAGGGACAAGGGAACACAGGAGCACGGAGACATGGGGACATTGGTCATGGAGATGAGGTGACAGAGAGGCACAGGGATGTGGAGAGAATGGGATAGGGACACAAAGACATAGGGACACTGAGGCACAGGGACATGTGGACACAAGGATAGATGGGCATGGGGGCACAGGGACACGAGGCATGGGGACACAGGGATAGATGGGCATGGGAGTAGAGAGACATCAGGGCACAGAGACATGTGGACAGGTAGATGTGGGAGTATGGGGACATTTGGGCCACAGGGGACATAGAGACACAAGGACATGGCGAGTTGGGGTGTGAGGACAAGGGACATGGGGACGAGGGGCCCAGAGAGCAGCGCTGAGCGGCAGCAGGCAGCGGCGAGAGCTGAGGACATGGAGAGGCAAAAAAGGCACAAGAAAAGCAGCGAGTGAGCGAGCACAGCGAGGGGCAGATGGCAAAGCTCCCCCTGCACCCCCTGGCCCCACACCAACACCCTCGACCCTGCCCCCACCCCCTGAGCCAGCACCCACTGCCCAGCTGAGCACCCACCACCCCTCTGACCACTCACCCACGAGGACCAGGGTGGCCTCAGCATCCTCAGGGATATTCTCCGGGAGTTGGGGTCTGGATGCCCCAGTCTGTTACAGGCAGACAGATGTCAGGAATCATCCAGCCAGGCTTGGTGGCCGTCCACTGTGGGCCCCTGTGTCCCTGCATATCCCCCTCTGACTCCTGTGTGTCCCTCTCTACCTCCTGCATCTCTCCCTCCATCCTCTGCATCTCTCTCTCCATCTCCTACATGTCTCCCTCTGTCCCCTGTATCTCCCCCTCTGTTGCTTGTGTGTTCCCCTCCATCCCCTGCCTGCCCCCCACACTAAGTGTCCCCCACCATTCTCTCTGTGTCCTCCTCCACACGTGCCTGTCTGTGTTTGGGGTGCAGAGAGTTCAACTGGTGTGTGCACCTGCATGTGCCAAGGGGTGTGTGTGTATCTGTGCACCCTGTGTGCATCTCCCACCCCCAGTGCCCCCTGTGCCCCCATCCCTGCTCACCTGCTCAGCCCCTGCCAGCCTGCGCATCTCCATGGGCTGCTGCTCCCGCAGCAGCAGCTGCTCCGTCTCTGCCCGGCCGGTGCCCGAGCGCTGCAGCAGTGCTGGTGGCAGTGTCCACACCGACTCAGATTCACTGGGGTGGCTAAGAGCATTGGGGGTTGGTATCAGACACCCCAGTGCCACCAACCCCTCTAAACTCCAATAACACAGCCCCAACCCCGTGGGTGCACTGGGACACCCAAACTGGGCTGGGAGACAAAGCTTTCCCACCCTGAGTCAGGATCCAGTGGGACGTGCTGGGGTGGGTCCAGCCTGGATCCTGGGGTCCCCCCTGGGGCCACCAGCTCTGGCTGTACCTGTGCCTCAGGAGCAATGTCCTCATGATGTCCTCCCGGTCCTGTGGCTTGATCTGCCCCTCGTAGATCATCTGGTCAAGGAGGACGTGGACGATGGCAGGCAGAGACTTGGCTGCCACGTCGAGGAGAACGGTGCCTGTGGGGACAGCACCATCACCCTCTGGCCAGTGTGGGGTCCCCACCACCATCCTAGGGGTCCTCAAAAGTATCCCCACCTTTTTCCAAACTCCGTAGGATATCCAGGAGGCTGCGGTAGGTCAGGAAGGAGAGATGGGGCTGGCCCCAGTGCCCTGACTCTTGGAAGTCCTCCTCCAGCTTGAGCCAGTGGCCAGCCTCCATCCAGCACAAGTCCTTTGAGCTGTCCATGACCAGCTCGTGCAGCTCCACATAGCCCTGCAGCCAGAGACAGGGG